GCTCGAATCTTAAAAAAACCAGGATTTTCTCAAAAAAAAAAAATTCTGTGCTTCTGTCTCGCCTTAAAAATCCACCACCACACACCAAAAGCTTGATCGGCACAACACTGGCAAATAAACAGACATATGAAACGATAAGTGCACAACACTGATCAATACAAACTGTTCACAGGAGACAACTGCCCCATGGAAAGTCAAATTTCAAATCAATGGGGAAATTTTTGCAGGAAAAATTATACCAACCTGCACGACAACACGATGGCCGATCTGGAGTTGACATACAAAATTAAATAAATCTCTATCCTGATGGAAGCGAAATCGAAAATCCACATCGCGTATAGCTTTCAGCAGCAAAGCTTCGAAGCTTGTCAGTAATGCTACCTAAAATGTATCAGTAGCGGAAAAGATGAAAAAAAAAGACAACTTCGTCCAAACGAACAATGGAACGATGCATGGATCGTTCAGTAAATCTCCCTAATTCGAGTTTTTGTGTGAGCGACATTACCAAGGCAGTACAAGCCAGGGAAAAGTTTAGCTATTCATATAGGAAAAATGCAGAACAACGGATCAATAAAGCGGATTATTGGATGGTACTCAAGAAAGGTTAAAAGAAGGTGCTAATACAATAGGCAAGTCCAATGATCTGGTAAGTACGGTGAAAGCAAAAAGTTCCAAAAAACACGGTTTTTTGAAAACAGGACTAAACTTTGTTAAAAAAAAATAAATATTCAAAAACAAGAAAATCATAAGAAACCACATAATTAGCTGGTATTTTCCCCATCAGCATTTAGCCCTTTAACTTATCCCGAAAATTTTTTTTGTTTTTCTATTGAATGGCGAATGAAGGAAGGAACAAACCTTTGCTTTCGGTACGCGCAAATATACATCGCCAAATTCGAGACACTTCATGAACAGAACGTTCCTGGTACTTAGGTTACTTTTACTGGATAATTCTTTTTCCCAGTAAGCATCACGATATCGCCTTCCGTCCATGTCGTTGCTGTTTTCTACCGCTAGGCATAAAATATGACCTCTTTCAACCTGCAATATTTCTGAGTTACCAAAAACCATATGTTCA